ATAGAGCCCATGAAGAGCAGTTGCAGTAATTGCCCATTAGCACCTGTCCTCCCACCGCCAACGGGGCTGTTGTGCAGCGTGATCAGAGCTGGCTGAGTGGGAGTTTGCAGAGCGTGATGGAGTTTTCCCACAAGGAAAATGGGAGGATGTGCCAGGGTGTGTCAGATACATTTAATTTGCATGTTAATTCTGTCGAGCCCAGATGTATTTTGAGCTGGACTTGGGATATTTGAACCAAAAACCTGTTACTCAGCTTGTTAAGGAGAAAAAGTCTCCAGTGTCTCAAGGGCTAAGGACACTTAAGTGCAGTTTTGCTCTGTAGAGGCTCATAGGCCATGTAGATTGGTGTTCATGGGCACAGCAAAGGCATTTTGCTGTCCAGCCCTCAGGCTACTTTAATTTAATTTAACAGTTCAGCAAGCTTTGGTGTGTTTTCTCTTAACTTGTCCCATAGCTCACATTAGCTGCCTTAGCCCCCCAGCTGATTTAGCTGTTAAAATTTGCCATCAGGTTGTACTTTGCTGCTTGCTGTTTTAGGGAAATGCTGGAAGTACAAGAATGGATGCACATAAGAAAATGTATTTGGAAAAACTGCAAAATGCATTTAGTTTATGTGTTTGTAAACACTAACTGTGTAATGGTTCAGTAGAACTTTTAAATAGTTGTTTGCCTTGTCAGTATTCAGATAAGAATGGGATCAAGGTTAGTTTTGGTACCAAAGGCTACGCACTAGGCTGAATTAGATAAGTTTTGGGCATCAGAACTGATGGTACTGCTTAGTTGCATAAAGAACTGTTGCAGTGCTGGCAGAAGTAAGTTCAAGTTTTTGTGGATTTCATGATCATTTTCCTTTGCTGTATTTTAAGGCTGTATAACATCATGAACCTTGGCACCCTTTGGCAGCTGTTCCCCAAGCCGTGTTTGTACTTGGAGTGCAACAGTCTTATTTCTTAATAATGCATAAGCTTTCTTACAGAGATGACACAAAATGTGGTAGGCTGTTCTTTGCTGTCACTGACAGCTGTGAATTTTTTTTTCCCCATGGTGCCAAGCTCCCAGCTTGAATTAGGAGTTAGCTACTCTTCTTTGAAGGTTGGTTCTTATTAAATTTATACAGGATTGACCCAGAGTGTCACTTTATCTTACTGGGAAAATGAAGTATTTCAAAGGTGTTTGTGTTTCAAATATGTCATTTACATTCATAGGAAAGAGGTTGACAGGAATCTGTTTCTCAGTTTTTAAAAGCAAAATACAACTAGAACATTAAGCTGAGGAATCTTCAGCGTGACTGAATAAGGGAGGTGTAGTTAAGTCTTTGAGTGTGTACTTCCTGCAGCTTTGGATCCAGAATGGGTGTACAAATCAGAATACAAGTGTATGGTCTGGGTGGAAAGCTTCAGAGGTCCCCTGGAGAACCCATGGAAAAGGAAAACACTTCAGCCTTTGTGCTTGCATGGGCACAAACAAGACATGTACCGTAATTATTTCATTTGGCATATAAAGACCTTACATGATAAGATATAAGTAACCTTAAGACTGCTGCCAGTGACTGTGCACAGCATGAACTTGAGAAGTGCAGACACAAGAGAATGAGGCTTCCCTGTGCTATCTCTAAAGATGATTAAGGTTTAAATAACAAGCAGCAGCCACCCCAGCATGGGTTTTCTTACTCAGCACAACTGCTCCATCATTACGTGACCACAGCACTCTTCCCTTGTGGGAAGTACTTTCCTAATTGCAGGAAGCAGCTCTAGGGAATCCTTTTAAAGATTAAAAAAAAAAACATTTAAAGATGGTTTTTTTTTAATTCTGAGCAGGTTGCCCCTCAGAGCTGTCTTCCCAGCATGTACTGAGCAATCTGCTGCTTTATTGCAAGGACTTCTGGTTGCTGTGTCTAGGTAGGGACCACAGTGGCTCCTGGCAGAGCTGGGGAGTGAAAGCAAATCTGGATTTGTAATTAAGGAGGTTGTATGTTATGGTACTCCACTTGGTGTCCTGAAGATAGTTAAATTTGGTGTGAAGTATCACATTAAACACCATATGGGTTTTGACTTCCCAGTTAGTGTTGTGCTTCATGTATCTGTCTCTTCTTGGATAGTATAGATCTGTATTTTGTGTATTCTTAAGTAGAGCCTGGCCTGACTTCCTAAAAGTAAAATGAAAGAATTTTATGTAGTTTATGCAAGGCAGTTGGGCTTGTTAAATAAAAAGCTGGATTCATACTTTTCCTTTTTTCAAATGGTTACTGACCACTGCAGAGAGCAGGTGAACTTTGAAAAGTTGGGCCCTGGATTTGTTGTGTGAATAGCAGTTAAATTCTCAGCAAGGAATTTCTCTGAGCAGTGCATCACTTTTTGTGGAATATTCCTGGGAGCAACAGTCAAGAGGAAGAGCTAAAAAAATCTTTTAATTATCTAATCCCCACAAAGCTGTGGAAAAAAGTCCATCTTTAGTGCAGGGGAATTGACTTTCCTTATGGTTTGAAGCTGTGGAATGATGGTTACAGTTGTGCAAGTCTTCAAACCTAGTATCTGCAGACCTGTAAGCTTGAAAAAAATGGTTGTGTAATTGGCATTGGCCTCATCCAGACATGCTTCTGTAACTGTGACTGCTGAAAGGATCTAGCTGATGTCTGGGGATATTTCTTCTAAAAGTTTTGGTGGTGCCATTCTGTTCTTAAATCTCTCAGAGAAGCCAGACCCACAAATATAAGTATAAAAATGTCTTTTGTAAAGTCATTTATGTTTTCCTGCATCCAGATGTGATGGATCCTGAGGCAAGATCTACCCTAAGCAAACCTGCAGCAGTAAGAGGAAGGTTCATCAGGTTTCCATGTTGTGTCCATCTACAGTTACATTCAAATTCAGTAGAATCAGTGTATTTCTATTATTTAAGGACAGCTCATGCATAGATAAACCTTGTATCCTTGCAGTCCCAACTGATTCTGTTGTTGCCATTTGTGTGTATGTAGATCCCCTGGTCTGTTTGGAAAACAAAATGACTTTCATTCTCCTGGCTGCACCTGTAATAAAATCCATAGAAATCAATTTAGAGTGGTTTGCATGCACAGGAACCCTTGTGTAACACCTCCTTGCTGCTATAAGGACTGAGTTAACAGTACGTGGGCCCAGTTGCTTGTCAGAACTCCTCCACCTTGCAAATGAAACTTGAGCAATGTATTGCCAGCCAAATACTCACAAATTTTCAATAGAAAAATGTAAAACTTCCTGGGGTTTGTCACAGGTGAAAGCTGACCTATTTCTTCAGTTTCAAAGTCTGTAAATGGCTGTTAAGATCATTCAGTTAACCCAGAAAACTGATCTTACACAGCATGATCCCATTTTTCAGCATAAAATGTGTTCTCATTTAAATTATGGAATAAATATACAGTTCAGCTGTTCTTGTTTTCACTTGGTGTACAAGATTCTTAAACCTTAAGACTTACAGAGGCGTGACTAATGTTGTATTTGCAAAAGCTTTTTGGATCATTTAACATGGGATGGAGTGGATCTTCTGACAAACAGGCATGACTTGCACCAAATCTTCCTTCAACTCATCACATGAACTTCCAGCTGTTCCCCCCTCTTTCCTGTTTCGGAGGACAAGATCTCAGTTAGATCTCAGATCTTGTCTTAGTTAGGACAAGATCTCCAACCCCAGGTAGTGCTTGGGTTGGGGTGTCCTAGTTAAATTCTGCATGGCTTGGATTGACTCCTACAGGCACGTTCTGGGTGAATCCACTGCCCTTCTTCACTTTTGTTCTTGTGACATCATTCATGGCAAGGGCTTGAAACTTGGTGAGGTCACTTAATAAATCCTCAGCTAATTGTGGTCAAACAGTAAGATGTCAGATTTTCTTATGTCCAGAGTCTCAGGGTGCAGCATGCAGTCACAAACTCAATTCATGTGTATTTCTATGCTTAGTCTTATGCTTAGCGCTCAGTTTTATGGAAAAGATACCAAATTTGTAGAACTTAATTTCCACTTCAAACTACATTTTTTTTCACAGAATTTACCTTTGAATTTAAATTTAGTTTATCAAGGTAAGCTAACCAACAATTTTTTTTTTCATTAATGTCTGACAATATTCTCTTGATGCCCATTTCTCAAAGTTCAGGCATCATTGGAGTTTCTTTTCTTTTTAACTTTAGCACTCGATAAATAAACTGACACACAGCCAGCCTAAATACATTACAATAATTTGGTAGGTCATTCTTCTCAAGCATAGATCCCACTGGTAATGTAAATACAGTGTAATTGCATCTTGCTCATGATAAGCATATTAATATCTTTCTGGTTTTTTTCTTGAGTTTCATGCTTCTGTAAGATATAAATTACATCTGACGAGATAAATTGGAACTCTAAAAAAGAAAAAGAGGAGGCAAAACCAAGCAAGTTACAGTGCCAATTAGGAAATAGAATATGAGCTTCCCAGCTGGATATCCAGGATCTTTTTTAAGCTGTTTCTGGGAAATGACAGTGGGAAAGCTCTCAGTTGAAGATGTTGTCTTTGCTGTAGGGTTTCTAAGTATCTGTTTCACTGCACTTAGTTAGGAATATTTATTGATACATCCATGTTCAAAATTTGGTCATGCATGTCATAGACAAAATCCCTTTTATGAACTGCAGTCATCCCACATAAGGGATAAAGGTAAAGCACTTGTGGTTTATTGCTGTTAATTTGTAGTACAGAAATTCCCTCTTCCAAGCCAAGGTGCCAAAAAAAAAGAAACCAGAAAATGGAACCTAAATATTCATTTTTGCTTTGCTTACACTTTTTAATAGGACATTTTGTCATCCTTTTGACTTCAAGAGATAGAAATTGGGCATCTTAACTGTGTCAAGTTTTAAAGTGCATGCAAATAAATTTCCTCTCAACAACCACATTATGTGAGGGACTGTTAGAGGAGGAGTACCTGGGCTGCCCCTGTTGTCAGCTGTAATGTGTAATCTGCTTTCTTCAGGTGTGCATTGTACCCTTTGTACTGAACTACGTCAGAGCTGGTATTTTAGAAGTGAAGGTTATTTTAATCCTTTTTTCTCAATAAGAAAAAGTGGTTGAATTTTGTTTATGAGTTGGTCTGAAAGAGAGGGTATAGTTTGGGGAGTTTTTAGTTGAGCTTTCTGAGCACCTTATAGCATTTAAATGTGTATAGTTGCTCATTTTTCCATTTTTACATGAGGCCAGAGAGATATTTAAGGTAAGGTAATTGAAATGAGTGGTAGTTCTTTTTTCCTGTGAGGAAAAAAGTTCTTTTTCCTGTTCCTTTTGCCTTTGTTGTTAATGTCTGCCTTGTTGAAAAGTACAGCCAGGGACAGTCTTAAACTCCATGTGTGGCTTTTGCTCTTCCACAAACCTAATGGCTCATTCTTGTCTCTTCACAGCTTTCCCATGGTTTGGCATGGACATTGGGGGAACATTGGTCAAACTGGCCTATTTTGAACCTATTGACATCACTGCAGAGGAGGAACAGGAGGAGGTGGAAAGCCTGAAGAGCATCCGCAAATACCTGACTTCCAACGTGGCCTACGGATCCACTGGCATTCGGGATGTCCACCTGGAGCTGAAGGACTTAACCATTTTTGCTCGAAGAGGAAACTTGCACTTTATTCGGTTCCCAACTCATGATTTGCCTACCTTCATCCAAATGGGAAGAAACAAAAACTTCTCAACACTACACACGGTGCTCTGTGCCACCGGCGGTGGCGCCTACAAGTTCGAGGAAGATTTTCGCACAGTAGGTAGCCTGCCCTGCCTCTGCCTGAAGCTGATGGGTTAAAATAACCTGTAGTTTGAAAATAACCTGTTAAAATAACCTGTGATTTGAAAAACTGGAGAGCTCTAATATATTTTAGTACTACTTTTGGTATGGTGAGGAGTTAGAGCCTTCCTGGATTCCGCAGCCCCAGTTAGTTGTCTTTGTGCTTTATGAGAGAACCGCAGCTTAAATATCACATGGAGAACTGGAGAGAGCCTTAAACCTTGCAGAATTTCTGACTTGTGCTTTTCCTGTGATCCTTGGAGTGTTTATGAAGTTGCAAGGATAGTTAGTACAATGTCATTGAGCTTTTTATATGCTGATAGCTTAGGAATTACTATTTTGACTTGTAAGATGGGGGAGGAACCCAACAAACCTTGAACAGGTTTTCAGATATGAGTTCCACCAAGATGACACTGAGTGGGGCCTCTGGGGTATTTGATGACCTTTCTATTGATTTAAATTGATGAAAAATGTTGTTAATTTTTCAATAGATTCATGTCTTAGTATTCAAAAGTGATCTTTGAGCTTACTGAAGCAAATACTTATACTGCATCTCTCTTCTTGATTCAGGTCTGAGATCTGGATTTACACTCAGATTAACTTGCTGGTTTAAGTTTATGCATTCAGAATTTAAGTCTGAATTCTTTGTTGGCTTTACAGTGACATTGAAATTCCTGAATTAGTCACATGAGATAGCTTCTTGAAGTTGGGCAGTACAAATATTGTCAGAAATTTGTAGCTCATTTGTGCAATGTTAGCACATGTTGCCACAGTCTTTTTTTCTTTCTTAACACAGATTGGAAACCTCCAGCTGCACAAACTGGATGAGCTTGACTGCCTTGTCAAAGGCTTATTGTACATAGACTCTGTCAGCTTCAATGGCCAGGCAGAGTGCTATTATTTTGAAAATGCCTCAGATCCTGAGAGATGCCAAAAGATGCCTTTTAACCTGGATGATCCATACCCATTGCTGGTTGTTAACATTGGTTCAGGAGTCAGTATTTTATCAGTCCATTCCAAAGACAACTATAAAAGAGTAACTGGAACAAGGTAATTTAAAAACCTATGTTGGGGTTGTTACTCTCTGGGGCAATGAAACAGGGATCTTTCATGAGAGGAAATGCTGTTTGAAAGCAATGGTTTTCTCTGTCCTTAGTCTAGGTGGAGGGACCTTCCTTGGGTTATGCAGTTTGCTGACAGGCTGTGAAAGTTTTGAAGAAGCTCTGGAAATGGCATCCAAAGGAGACAGCACACATGCTGACAAGCTGGTTCGGGATATTTATGGAGGAGACTATGAAAGATTTGGTTTGCCAGGATGGGCTGTAGCATCCAGGTAAGCAGGAGTCTCTTGGTGGATTATTCTCTTGGTTTGTGGAGCTTCTAAAACAAGGCTTCAACTATTCATGCAGAAAGAACTGCTTTTCTGCATGGTTTTATTGTAGTCCAGTTACATTTTTATCCTAAAAGTGGGTATCCTCAGCTTTCCTGCTGGTTTAAAGCCATGTGCAAGTGCAGGTGCCTGCTAGGTCAATATTAAAGAAACCTCCTGAGGTATTTCATGCACAGCTTTGTGTGAGTCAGAGGGAACACAAGGTGACAGCAGGAACAGAGTGCAGAGGTGGTGTGCTGTAACCCAGCAGGCATTTAAACACCTCACAGGCACTCAGGCACTCCCTCCAATGAGATGGGGGAGAGAACTGGGAGGAAAAAAATAAAACCGGTGTGTTAGATAAAGAGTGTTGAACAGGACAGAAATGGAACAGAACAGAATGGTCTCCTCCCCACTCTGTGCATCCCCATTGTGCTCACTGGTGGGGTGCAGTGAGGAGCAGAAAAGGCCTTGACTGCTCAGCAATAACAAAAACATCCCTCTGTTATCAACAGTTTCCAGCACAAATCCAAAACACAGCTCCATGGTAGCTACAATGAGAGAATTAACTATCCCAGCTAAAACCAGCACACAGCTACTAGGAAGAAAATTAATTTTGTCCCAGTCAAAATCAGTACAAGACAGGGGAAAAAAGTGCCAATTTCTTTTTATATTACCTAGAGTCTTTTAGTAGAGCCATTGTCTAGAGGGAAGGTGAGTGGGAGATGGCTTTTATGTTGCTCTTACAGTGGAGAAATTCCTAATTTTTTTTGGGAAATGTGGTTGTCACAACAGACACCTGATGTAGTGTTTTAACTACTTTTCTCACTGAAGAGGGCTGTTGAACACCAACAGTTTGCACCATGAGAATGTCATTGTCATCAATAGAGGACTTTTGTCACAGCTGCACACATATTTTCATTGGGGAATATCATCAATGATATTACAGCTTACAAAAGATAAGAAAAATAAACTCTTCAAGCGAAACTAGTATGTACATAAGAGTGCTCATTAAATCTTTACTGTTATTCCATAGGGAATCATAATTCATGGCAACTTAATTGTTCTCCCTCTGCAGCCACCTGAGTCCAAGCCTCTTGAGAGCCCATGTGCTGAGAGGTTTTAATATGTGTGAACTTTACACTTCAGTCAATAATGTTTTACCTTGCTTTATGTTGGTGCTTTCTGTTCTCATTTGCTTTTTAAGATCCTTAAGAGCTTTAATGGCTTTTTGAGCTCTACAATAATCAGGATTCTTGCTCTCCAAACTGGCTCAGAGTCCTTGGTGGTTAAATATCACACGTAGCTATGGATTCTTGTCTTTTGTGCTGTGCATGGCAAGGGAAGTGGCCTGATCCAGAACTCTTCATTTCTGCGACCTAAATTGCATTCTGTAACTGTTCATTTTGTTTCAGAGGGTTGTGTTCCATCATAAAATGGTTTAATTAATGGAAGAAGACCTCTGAAACAAAATTAACAGTGACAATAGATAGGTGTTTGTGAGCAAGCAAGCATGAGAAGTGGAAGATTTACCAATCAAGCAGTGACTTAATTTACAGTGACTAAATTTGCAGTCATCTTCTGTGAAGAATAAAATTGTTTTACTGTAGGTGGTTCTTCATGGAAGTCAACAATCTGAACAAAAATTATTTGCTGGAACACAATTGACTGATTCCTGTGAAGGAATAAATAGAGGTGTAGTGTCAAATTGCTGTATTTAATACAGACACTAAAAGCAAGTTCCTCAAAGAGGAAACATGAGACATAGTTTTTGTTACAGCATAAAAAAATCCATTTTGAAATTATTTCAAATGCACATGAATCACTTTGTAACTCATGGCCATTTCTCCTATTCTAGTTTTGGGAATATGATCTACAAAGAGAAGAGGGAGTCTGTCAGTAAAGAAGATCTTGCCAGAGCCATTCTGGTCACCATCACCAATAACATTGGCTCTATTGCCCGGATGTGTGCAGTGAATGAGGTAAAACCTGACCAGGAAATGATCTGTCTACAGCTCTGTTACATGTCTTCACATTAAATGGCTGCTAAAATGGTGTATCATTTTAAACCTTTTAATACATTCTCAAATGAAATGAGAAATGCATGTGGTAGCTCTGAGCTGGGCCTACAATCACCCTGCTTTAGCAAGGGGACTTCAAGTCCTTTATCAGAACATCCTGTGCTTACCTGCAGGCTTTGGGCTCCATTCTTTACCAAAGCTCCTCATCAGGTTCCCTCCCCTTTGGCAAAGATATCCTTGTTCCACTTCTCCAGAGACAGTCAAAATATTCTGAAGCAATTCCTAATGCTTTAACCACAGAACAGCTGGGGGTGCAAAGGACTCCTGGAGAGGATGCAGTCCAGCTCCTTGCCAAGGCAGGGTCACCTAGGGAATGCATCCAGCCCTGAGACATGGACTCAGAGACAAACTCTGTGCTTGGAGGTTTCAAAATACATGACTTGAGCAACTGCAGCATGTAAGCTGCTGAAAGTCCTGCTTTAAGCAGTGCATAATGATGGCCTCCAGCAGTTTCTCCAAGCTGAAATTATCCTCTGATCAAAGCCTTGTTTCTAGATAAACATTATTTTTAATTTTTTCTAGCTCTTGAGACTTTAAAATTGCTTTGACACCTCTCATCTTGCTGGTTGGTACAGAGAAGGTTTCCTGCCATCTTCTGTTTCTCAAAATTCAAAAAAGAACCAGTATTGGTTCAGTATTAGTGTGGACAGCCAAGAAACTGTGGAAGAATACTGAATTTAGGCATAGAAGACATGAGAGTCTGAGCAGCAGGGATTCCTTCCTTCCTTTCTTCCTATTATCAACAGACTTGGGATAAAATGAGGTTTAGCAATAGCTTTCTTGGAGAAGACTGGGGTAACTGAATTTAGAGTTCTACTTCAAATCTTTGCATGTGATTGTCTCAGAAGTGCCAACAGCCCTGTTAGCTGCAGTAATCCTCCTTTTGCTTAGGAGCCAGATTAATTTTATTTTCTAGTTTTAATATTGTAACTTCTCCCTCAGTTTCGTTATCTTTCTCATGTCTGTCTTGGGAAGGAAGGTAATTTTGTAAGTGTTGGTTTTGGCTTTTTGCTTTATGGCAAAGCTTAATAACAAAAAAGTTAAAATGAAGATGAAGTTGAAAGTACATTCTACATGTCTTAGGCAAATTATGCAATTTATATTTAAGGGTGGGAGTAAATGAGGACAAATCAGAACTTGTAAACTGCACAAACTACCTTTATTCCGAGTGAGTTTTGGTCTAATTCCAGCTATGTCACAGAACTACAAACCATAAGAAATAGCTAATGGGGATACACAAAGTTGTACCTTGAACTGATGTCTAAAGATGAAATAAATGTAATTATTTTGATTGCTTGCAGTAGAGCAGAATGATGTTTTTGTGTCTTAACTATGTGTCTACTTTTCTTCACTGGGAACTAATCAGGATGGTTAAAAAACAGTTGCACGTGAGACATTTGACTGCAGGTTGAATTGTCATATTAGTTATTGTAATAACTTGGAAATGACCATTTATTTAATGCAATTAAGTGCTTTTTAAAGCACTGTGTTAAGGACTAACACAATTACATTTTCTTTGGCTCTTCCTCTCAGGTCATTAAACTGGTGTTTAATGTTTTCACTTAGTGCTGGATTTACTTCAGTTAATGGGGAATATGAAGTGATTTTCACTTTTTTACATTTGACTGGATTAAATTCACAGCTCCCTGGTAGTATTCAAGTGCTCCTAGAGTGATGCCAGGCTGAGGTACAATGAGGGCTGGAGATAAAGGAACATCTGTCATGTCTTAGTGCCTTCGGCTTCTTTACAGTGCTGCCTTGTTGCATATGGATCAAGCAGCATTGTACAGGGCTATGAAGGCATTGAGTCTGCTCTACCAAACACAAGTATCTTTCATTTCATTTCTTTCTTAGCTGGCTTCTTTCTTTGGTGTAATTGCTGAAAATGCTCACTTAATTTGAAACACAAATGCTACTTGTCTGTAAATTAAGTCCTTTAATTCTCAAGGGCTGCACCGTTTTTCCTTCTCCCCAAGTATGCCATGTTTTAAACTTTGGAACCGTGTTTTAATTGTGGCTTGTTTGGTTTTTCTGTGTTTTTTTTCCTTGCTTGAGACAGTCTTCTCTTTCAAAGCTGTGTTAAACAGTGAAAAGACTTAATCCTTTGCTATTTTTCTGGTTTTTTTCCTTTTTTTTTCTAGAAAATAAACAGAGTTGTGTTTGTTGGCAACTTTTTGCGTGTGAATACTTTGTCAATGAAGCTTCTTGCATATGCACTGGATTACTGGTCAAAAGGTCAGCTGAAGGCCTTGTTCCTAGAACATGAGGTATGCTGTGGCTCATTTATCTCTGTGTTCTGTTTCACCATAAATCAGAAATGCCTCTATTGAGCAGCTCTCATGTGTGATATCCTGACACACCAAGTGCTCAGTAAATATTAGAAATAACAGGAGGTTTGTCTTGCTGAATTGGTTCTCTGGAAACAGTTTTCTGCCAGGGAAGTACTTCAGTCACTTTGGGGTTTCTCAGTTCATGCTGTGGATCTCTGGAGAGGGACAGCAAGATGTTAAACTCTGTGCTAAGGGTCAGCAGTCTTCCTTGGGTTTGGGTGGAAACAAGAGTAAGTATTGTGTTTCAAAGAGTGCAGAAATGTAAAGCTTGGCCCTCTGAAACACTTGCATTGTTCTCAGCTGAGCTTGAGCAATGTCTTGAAAGTCAAGACTGCTTTGACAAGGCCTGTTTTCCTTCCACAACAGACCCCTCAGAGCTGTTGGAGTGATTTTATGCTTTGAAAATAACCTGCTTTTGGGCACCTTCTGCTGTCTCAGTATGCAGTACTGAGAGCTTTGATCTGGTTTGGTTAAAATATGAGCAATCAGTATTAATTTCAGGTGCAACAGTTGCTGACTTACAGCTCCTGGGCAGTGGGTTGGGAATTTTTGTCCTCAGTTTCTTGGTCTGAAAATATTACAGCATTCCATCTATTCCTTTCAGATGATTTTCACAACTCTTTTCCTTTATTGCTCATTTCAAGAGTGACAGTCTGTTCTGATGGCCACAGTAACAGTGGAATGGTTCCTTGTTAGCTCTGCCCTCTTCAGATTTTTCTTGGGTAAATTTTAAACTCACATTTGGTCAAGTGTATATTCTAAACACTTGAATACTTCTTAGTTATAGGGAGGAGGCAGATTTCAGTCCACAGGGGGAAAAAAATTCAACATGAGAACGTGGTTCTTTGCATGCAGGTAGATAGTCCAAAAGTGTGATGTGTGGATATAATTTGAGGAATTTTTCACTTTTACTTTAGAAATAATGTTGCTATGGGTATTGAAGATGTTTTAGCAAGCAAAAGATGCAGCTTCTTTAGGAAGAAAATACCAAACCTGATTTCCATGCTCTAGGAGTCACTGATACCTGTCCTAGTGATCCTGCAGTGTACGGTGAGGAAACTCCTAAAGTCAAGCTAGATAAGAAGGATAAAGTGTTTGTTTCACAAAGCCTTGAATAATTACTGTGAAATATTATATATTAAAAGTGTATCATGTTCTTTTTGTACCACTGATCCATCAGATGATTGTTGTTACTAAAATATGATTACTGCAGAATTTAATACCCTACTTAAAGTTGATTTTTTTTTTTTTTACAGGGATACTTTGGAGCTGTTGGTGCTCTGCTTGGGCTGCCAAATTTCAGTTGAGATGCCAGATGTCACTACACTGAACTCCTTTCCACCTGAATGACACTTGTTTATGTCAATGGGAATCAAATCTGGGGAGGGGAGGAGAAAAAAGCTGATTTTCTGTAACTCTTTTTAAGAAGTGATGAAGCTACTGAGTATTGCTGTTGTAAGGAACGGGGTTTCACTCTGCTGGGCATTGGCAAGTGAACTGTTTGTGGCTGTAATTTATGTTCTTTGGTACGTGTAGCCAGTAGTGAACTTCTATTATGCAATACATCCTCTGAAAACAACTTTCCAGAAATTCCAGAAGAAGGAATGCCAAACCCTTAAGTGCTCAGGATGCAAATATTGCAGGTTTAGCCCCAAGGCTTTAGGCCCATAAGTTTATATATAGAATTGATGACTAAAAAATTATTTTCATTAGTTATGCTGTTATTATGAGCACAAGATTTATGTGTTCTTACAGAAAACAACAGATAGCCTGGTACTATTGACAAGATGAGGAAACTGTAGACAATTGCTTCCCACAGCAAACATAGTAATTATTTTATTTTTATGTGTAATATTAATGCTTTAATTTCCAGTGGGAAGAATAGAAACACAGAGAATCAGCCAAAGCAGCAGATTAAGCAGTTGATATTTTGAAGGTTTTCTGAAGTTACCTTAATTTATTGGAAGATTCAGCTGGTATTTTGGGAAGATTCCTCTCTCTTTGTTTGGATTTGGAAACGAGTTCAGTGATTAATGAAGTCAGGTTTTAGGGGAAGATTTTTTAAAATTTTTTTTTGAGGACATGAATTCCAAAATGCCTTCTGGATTACTTTTTTTTTTTTTTTTTGCCTCCTAAGTTCTTCCATCATGAATCATCATTTATAAAGGTACCCTAAAGCCTGGGAGAATTGAGGAAATCCTTTTAAAATAGACTAATTATGGGACCTCATAACTGATGCTTTGGCTTGTTTCTGTAGAGGTTTGGGAAAATTTTTGCCCCATCCTACTGATTTGAAGTTGTGATTTCCCTGTAATTTTGTAAGAGTTGATCAGAATTCAAGCAGATGTTGAAGTTGAAAGGTTACTTTTGGATTTGGAAGTTTGTTTTTGGAAGTTGAGGACAACATCAGAGTTTGTATTGCAGCAGCAAATGGACCAATATTTAATGCACTTGCAATATGGAACAATTGTGGCCTTGGGATAAAATCCATACTCTGGAGCTGATTTTTGGGGTTTTCTGTAGACTTTTAAAATTTACAGTTATGATTATTACAGTAACTTCAGCCCTGAAGCCAGGGCATGAGATCTTAAACTTACAGGACTATCATACAGTCAGTAGCTGTATGACTTTTTGTGGACTAAAGCTACCCAATTTTGTGATATTTTCCTGTTAAATTTATTTCCTGTAAGTGCATGAGGAGCAACCAGACCCAGACACGTTCATATCTTGGGGTTTAAGGTTTTTAAAACTGATTGCTCAAGTATTCCACAGCATGGCTGTGTTGTATTTACAGATACATCCCCCTTGTGTTAGAAACCCCTGTGCTGTTTTCACTCTTCTCTTTCTCAAAATTCAAAGCCCCAAACTAACATCATAGGGTTTTGCTTTTAAAATTTTCTGTGGTCCTTTCAGAGTACAGTACCTTAGAGTAGGCAACTCATTAAGTGCAATGCTAATCACAAATGCAGTTCCATTTATTGTTGCTTTTCCTGGTACTTGTACTTCATTTGCATTGTGCTTGCTTTGATGTTTCACTATAGACATAAACAACTAAAAATTACACTCACAGTTCAGCTGATCTAATGCTAAATCAGAGCACTTCAGAAAATAAGTGAATACAGTTTTTCTAGAATGTCTTTATAAATGCTGTAAACGGTTCCTTTTGAGTTAGGATTGACTATCAGAAGTAACCTTTCTTTGGTTATAAAACTGTGTATAAACTTAATTTTCTGAATGTTCTGGCAGCCTGCTGAAAATTTTGCAAACTAACTGCATATTTTACTCACAAAGGGTGCTTTAGGAGACATACTACACTCCATTAGAAACAGTTCCTTTAGCCCATGTTTATTGCTACTTCATTTGTGATACTCAGTCCTCTTGAAGCAGTAGTTAGAAGTTACTTGTATATTTAACCAAAAGCACATATAGAAGATGATTACCTAATACCCATAGTTCATTAAACCAATTGAAGTTGATGTGACGTAACATACATTTTTTTAAGTAAACTGTACAGAGTTACAAATAAAATAAGCAAATGGAGTAATTCTTGAATAGCTGTACTGTATAGAAACTACTGTGAGAATCAAAAAGTATGCCCTACCTCTGTTTTATTTCCCTTGAGCTTCTAAAAAAAATTGGCTTTCTGTTGCTAATTTTATCAGCACAATTGTTACTTCATTACAAGAGCAACCACAGCAGTTGTCAAGCCCTACTGTAAAGCCCAGGGCTCCTGTGTTTAAGCCACATCTTTGGGTTTCATCTCATTTTCTGTCAGCTCAGAACTTGTTACCAGAGTCTCCAAAGATTGACTCTACCACCAGGAGAAATGATAGGCATCACAAATAGTTGCAAGATAAGCCTTAATGTCTTTTCTTCTAAATTCTCTTGTAAACAGGTTGAAAATGCTTGTTTCTTTTGTATGAGTCACTGAAGTAAGTTGCTTTGTCCTGCTAGTCTGTTTTTACTTTCACCTTTGCCATTTCTTTTCCTCAGAGCTAATTGGTTGAAGCAGCTTTAGGGTGAATTGTTTTAGTGTGAGGTACTACAGTAGAGAAAATTTGGCGTTTTCTCAGGACTACTGTGGTCTTCTCAAGTGGAAACACTGTCTAGAGGAAAGTTCTGTGATAGTTCTTGAAAGTAAAAGTAAGATCCCTTTTGAATGTGTAATCATCTGCAGCTCAGTCAGCCATGTGAGTGCCTTTTGAGTTTTTCATGTAATGCCAATTTTATGGTACTTTATCCATGAGGTTTCCTACCCAATATTACTTACCAGAGAAATGGAAGGTCATTTTATTGGCCATGGAGATGATCCCTTTCATGCAGTGTAGCAGGAGATACCAGGAAAAAATCATCAGGTTTCTGGCTTCCTATCCCTGTAGCCCTTAGTCTTGGGGTAAGGATTTTGCATTTCTTGGTCTTATCCCTCCAGCTTGGTCCTTTCAAGTATTATGCACAGTTTTATTGTATCATTATCTCCCTAAAAATCATGCAAGTTTATAATGAGATAAGTACTGTTTATTTCTGGGTAGAGAAGTTCAATCTTAGGTGAAGTTATTCCAAGCTATTACACATAACCAGTTTGACCTTTCTAAGTCTACTTGGGTAATTGCAGTTTGAATGAAAGAGGAACTCTGACAATACATCTTGAATATTTAACAGGCTGGAATCAAAACATCCTCAGTGTTCTTTACTGAACTGAGCAGAGGTTTAAATACAAACAGTTTTTCATTCTTTTTAGTAAAGTCTTGATACATTTAGGAGTTGAGAGAGAAGCTGCAGTGATGCACCCTGTGTCTTAATAAAGTTCCAAAGTGTGTTCAGGTGTCTGCCCTGCCTTTTGAAGATGTTTAACTCCCTCAAGCACTTGTGTGATTCTGCCAACAGCTGCTCATAATTGAGAGTTCCAGGGTGGAAAGAAGAGAAACCACCCACATTGTCCCTCTTGGCCTCAGCTGTACAATCAAAAGCTCTGCCTTCACCTGATGGATCCTCTGCTCCTTCAGTGCTACTGTGACATTCCTGCTTGCACTTGGGTTAGTATAGATGCAAGGTGCTTGTAAAGGCTGTAACACTCTTTGTCTCTACCCAGTACAGGTTATCAGGAAACACCTGCTTCCAGATCCATTGAAATAACTTCTCATTTCTAAGTATTTCAAAATAGTAATGGGGTTTTAATGTTTGGAACTAATTAAAGGGTCTTTTATCTAGAGTAGTTCTCTGCTAGATAAAGATTAGATGGTGTCTTTCACATCAAGTCAATAATTTTCATTAATTAATAAATTTGCAGTCAACCTGTTTTTAAATATCACTTTCATTGTGGGCATTCTGAATACCATGTAATCCTGAGGAAGTGACTTCAGAGCAGAGGTGAAGGTCAGTGTGGTTCTGTTGAGCTACTTCTGGTCAGTTCCAGTTAGAACAAGACTAATTCTTTCCCTTGTCACTTCTTTTTTTTCTTATCTACATCTCTTTATGTAGGCTTAAAAACCATATAATATGTGACAGAGCTTTGCTGAGGTTAAAAAGTGACCAAACATCTGTGGGTCAGGTTGGAAGTGCTTGAGCAAGGCCTGTGGGTCCCAGTGCAGAGCTGGGGACACACAGTTTCTGTTTGGATGTGGTAATTCTTTCACTTCCCATTAATGCACAGTCACAGCTGGTGGGTTTCACAATCACTGTGAATAAAATGGGAGAATTTAGTCCTCAGATATGACCATGGGAGATCAGAAAAATACAGTGTAGAAGAATAATTCCTGCTCAAAGTTCTTTAAAGTTTTACCAATGTATCCCAAAATACATCACCAGTATTTTGTCAACTGTGGTAAAATCAGTAAATCTCTAAGTTAACAGAAGTCTGCAAAGAAGCCTGTTTTATTAGTTTCATTTGCATTACACATGTAAAGCATATTAAGTATTCTTAAAAACTGAAAACATCTCAGATGATGCTGTAATATGTCTGTAATTATTAATGTGCTAATGGAATATGTTTGAGCAATCTCAGTTTGCATAACTGAGTGTCAAATCCTGCTCACTCTGTAGTTACTTCAGTAAATCATTCTTTTAAACTAATGAGCAAGATTTGGCCTCAAGGTCTTCTGCCTGGGGAACTCAGTAATGCTACTTTGCATATTCCTGCTGGTGCTAAATCATTTGTTGAAAATAAAGATTCTAAATAGAAATTGTAAATAAAATATTTATGGCCTGGTCCTTTTGACAGACTTAAATTTTATCATTTGCCAATACTTTTTGGCCTTATTTTGAGTTTCCCTTTTGGGTTTGGTTTTTTTGACTGTGTGTGTTAATGTGGCAAGTCATTGGCAGGTGTGGCTTCCTGTGCTGCTTTATGTGAGGCCCGTGGCACATCAGGATGGGTTTTCATAGCTGCATTTCCATGTTCATCTTCATCTTGTTTTGTTACTGTAGCTCTTTGCACAAATTTGTGTCAAGCAGAACACAATTGGCATTTGTTCTCTGCTAAAACTTCCAAGAATGTCAGCCACTACTGAAAGTGTTTAGGAAAGCTGTTGAAAAGTCAGAAATACCCATTTAAAGTATTTTGAAATCTCAATGTGCTAATTAGTGTCACCTGTAAAATGAACTGGAATATAGAGTGCTGGTTGCTAATCTTGGCTATAAATTGCTGACATTTCACAATTCATATTTCTGGCATCAGTTTAAGAAATTGTAAATACAAGCTTTGGGAGGAGGTGTATTAGTTTCAGATTGTGCATTATGAAAGACTAGTGAATTAGTATTTTGAGACATGAAATTACAACAGCTAGAACATGAAAATTCATGTGTTTGTGTTAGTGTATAGAGGGCTTTAGATAACCTGCACTTTTACATTCTTGAGTTTTGGCATTTTACCAAACAAACATTTAATTTTCCATTTACTGTCTCATCATATGCAGGCCTTGTAATCACCAGATGCTGTCTTCAAATATTTGTTTTAGTTAGCAAAGCAGAGAGGCAAATGTGTACCTTGTAAGCCCTGGTAGGATGGAAGTTCTCTGAAGAGCCATTTGGTTAAGTTGCCTTATTCTATTACATTGCACTCATGATGTCTCTGCTTTCCTGTTTACTGTTCAGACACTGAAGATGTGATGTAAAAATATGTGCTACAAATTTTTCATCATAAATTACTCATGAATACCTTTGTGTCACCTGTTAAACAGCTCTTGTAAATGATGCCTTTATGCCATCTGTAATACAGCTCTTGTAAATTGTTTAAATTATTTTTCTTTTTATAGATTCTCATTATTGAATGTACAGATTAGATCCCTTTAATGTGTCACTGAGTAATTTGATTTGGGCCCAAATATGGACAATGCTGTAATTCATCCCATCAAAACTGTAAATAATTCTTTACTGCTTGTTTGCATGAGTGAAGTTTGGATTTCATTTGCTTTGTCATAAACCAACTCCTCTGTCATGGGCCTACTTTTTACAGTTTATTTTCCTGGTTTTATTGCCATTTGTTCTGTACGAATGTTGAAACAGTACTTTGTCTTTTCCTAATAAATAATTTGAGATTGTTCATTGCAGGCCTGCATTTGTGGGTTTTGTGGGAGGGATTTCTGGTGCCTTTTGTGGAAGCTGGTCTGAATTTCAGCTGAGGTCCTTAACTGCTTCTGGTGCAGCCCATGTGCAAGCTGAGGGTCCAGGATTAAGCTTCATTAGTTCTTAGCTGGTGATCTGTTTTTAATTTTTTTTAAGAAGTTTGTATGAAACAAGTGACTTCCTCTTACTGTAAGACTACTCAAGCCAGCTGTATTTGAATTTTTGCTGAACTCAAAAAATGAAAACCTCTAATTTAATTATACTTGTAACTTCCCTATTTTTAGAAATGCCAATTAAAAATTAAATTTGCCCTTAAATCCTGGAGTGGAACCCCCTGCTCTAAAGGCCTGTCTGTCTGTCTACTGGTGTTCTATAAATATATCCACTTTGTGCAGTTTTGGGGTACAGGAGTGCCAGGGTTGGCTTTGCTGTGCTGGAGGGAGAAGGCTTGTGTTAACCAAAATCCACAGGTTTGTGGGTGCCTGTCAGCCTGGAGAGCCTGTGCAATCCCCGACTGATGTGTGTTCTCACTTTCCTGCAGGGGCTGTGTAAATGGATCAAAGGTTGAGTCTTTCATAACCCAGATGTGTCCAGATATGTAAATCACTGAGCTGCCTCTAATGAAATCTGTTCATGCACTTTTTATATCCCAGGCTTTGGGCTGGTTTGTGGAGAGTTACTGATACCATTTGATAGCAGACAATAAAACTTCAGGGAAAATTCCCTTGTTGGGTGCACAAGGGTTTAGAGCAGTAATTTGAAGGAAAGGCATCTCCTTTCAGGTCCCTGCTGGAGAGCTGCACAGGCTGTGGGCAGTGCTGAGCTGCTGCTTTGGACCCCCCGGACACCTCCTTCCCTGCTTTTCACCCAGTTTCTGTTTCTCCTCTGTCCCCTGGTCAAGCAGAGACTTCAGGGAAGGATTTGCCCTCCAAGAAATGCACATTGCTGAGCTGCACAAACACGTGGGAGCAGAGCAGAGATGGATAAGGGGGAAAGGTACAACCCAGACCAACACTGAAACCCCCACATGCCTTATAAGCTGATACCAGGGGGATTGCAAGTGTGCAGCACCTGATAAACTGATCTCTTTTCTGGCCATTTCTGGGTATTTAGTGGCAGCCACTTCTGAGGACATTCCCCATCCTCTGGAAACCAGCACTTTCCACTACTGCCTTTCCCAAGCCCACTGTGACCCACAGGTGCAGCTTGAGGCTGAGGCAGCATCAGGAAAGGTGAAAATTCTAAGAGCCTGAGACCTTTTGCTTATAGAAGGGACCAGCTGATCCTTTGCAGCCTCTGCATGAGGTGTTGCTGACAGCTCGGGCTGCTCTCAGCTCTTCCCAATTCATCTCTTTATCTCTGGGTAAACACCCCAGCTGTTTCTGGTATTTTTGGGGTGTTTGTCAGCTCAAACAGGCCTGCATGAGACAGGAAAACACTTTGGTCCTGAAGTTCTCATATCCTTTGAGGATTAGGGTTTGATTCTGCTACCACAGGAAAACAGACAACATAGAGAAGGACAGTGAGAAAAAGCCTTCAGACAAACAGATACTCAGTCCTGCTACAGGGCAGTTGTAAAAAATGTGTTCCAGCTCCCGGCAGGAATGTGTTAGAGATGTTATAAGCATCTTTCACACCAAACGCTGCTGCTCTTTGCTCTGAAGGGTGAGAATGGGACCTCTGGGGATCTCATAAGAGGGGTGTGATTT